GAAAAAATAAATCAGTTATTCTGATACTATTGGGTTATATGTGTATAAGAGAAGAATTGGACACTGGCAAACAAAAAAGCCAGTGGCCAGAGAGGTATAACCCCTCCCAGCATGCATCAGTTTTTTTTTTCAAGTGTTGTAGGAAGATGGATGCCTTTTCTCTATTGAGAAATGGTTAGACCCTTTTTACTAGTCATTTTGTTTTATCATTTTTTTTACTTTGTATCAGTGACTGTGTTTTGTTGGCTGTGTTGTCTATCCCTCATTTGGACTGCTTTTAGTTGTTCCAATTGTATAAAAATAACTGAATCCTGCATCAATTAATGAACAATATAGAAAACAGGATTCTTATACTTACCTAAAAAATTAATTCAATATGGGCACAGTTCCCACCCTCCAGTTTGTGATCTGGTACTTAGCAGGAGTGAGTTCAGAAATGCTAATTATTGACCAGCCCCAGTATGGTGATAGTTTCATAAACAGATTGCTGATGTGGGTTCAGACTAGGATCTGAACAAACTTGAGCTCATTCCTACTCATAAGTACTGTTTTTCTACAATACTGAAACATGCTGGGAGTGGTTATATCTTTTAGCTTTTATCTTTAGCTTTTTGTTTGCTAGTGTCCAGTCCTACTGTAGGAGGTTGCATATAACCCAGTTGCATCAGAATATTTGAATCCTGTGTAACATAATGAACTGCAATAAAGAATTTAGAACCACTGTCAGGGTATTATTGTACTCTGTGTGTTGGGGAGATTCACTCTTTCTAACTGTTCTGATCTCCAAAATAATGGAAATGAAAGTAAGGCTAAATTCACCTACTTCATGCTACCAGAACTAGAATTGAGGAGAAATCTTCCAATGGAGCATTTGTTTCTCATGACAACTGTCTAAGAGGGTATTTTGTTCACATTGGAATGGCATCCAAACATGCCCTGCTGAGTCTTCAAAACAGGATGTGAAGAGAAATGTTTATAATAAGACACAGATTGCAAAAGCTTTGCCAAATTAAAAGAAAGTTGGTTTGAGGTGTCCAACCTATGGAATCCAGTCTCCAAATGTATACACATACTGTATATATGTATGTTTTTAACTACCTAAGGAAACGGTGCTACATCCAGTTTCTCTCTCCCCGCCACCATTACTGGCAATAACCAGCTGGAAGTTACTTTCTGTCGAAAAACGGGTTCATGTATAAAATGACAATTGCAGATACATTGCAAGTGTCATTGAGTAAACACAATGTAACAATGTAGCGTTTCATCCATGCTACTCCCACCCCTAGCTACTATTTTAAGTATCTGGTAAAAAAAAAAATCCACTCAAGTGCCAATATGCTAGTTATGCAAATGAATCCCTGATGACCTGATTTTATTAGTGTTGCTTCATAGGTGATGTTTCTAAGATAAGTGTTTCAGTGATTTTGTTTTATGCGCTCTCTCCATCCTGTACCTGATTGTACAAAACTTTGTTAACTGTAATAATTGTGTATCTTTAGGAAAAAATATATTTCGATAGTTTCTTGATGGAGTTGGGAATGTCAATAACCCTATGCAAAAACCTGTGTGAGGACATAAAAAGAAGTGAGAGGAGATTTCTCCAAGAATATCTCCGCTTAGTAAGTTGTTACCAAAACAGATGTCCTCACTAGAAGATATCTCCCACCTCCTTTTTTTTTGATGATCAATGGAACATCAATGGAACATTTTGTTACTGAAAGTCCTCAAACAGGGACACAATCAGGAATAATAAACTAGCAGGTGTTTAAGCCCCTCAAAAATGTTTTTGCTGTGGATATACATAGACAGTATAATAGATGCAGTGGGCTTGATCAGCTCATTCAGCCATGGTAAGGTTAAATCATACTTTCCTTGTACCACAAAAAAAAAAAGAAAACAAATATGAATGGTCTAGTCATGTTTGCAGCCTTGGGCACTCTGTTTCCTCATCTGTGTATGCACAGTAAATGAATTAGTTCATTAAATGAATACATTTTCCCATTTCAAAGTCATCATCTGTGCTGCATGAATTGTAACTTAATTAAAAAGTATCAGGTCAAACTTGAAAGCTTTACGCATAGGTTTTTCTCTTAGCTGACAGAATATGTACAGATAAAATATATTAAATACAGCATAACTAGTTTGTAACATCGTGAACTAAGTTTGTCTTCTGAGATTTAAAGAAAGGAAATTCATCTAAAATTGTTACTGTCAAAAATGTTCCAGCAACATTCTCTTCATGCCTAACCTTAAAGTTAGGGTTTAGCTTTACAGAAAATATTACTCAACACAATTTGGTGAGGAAGTTTTGTTTTGTTTTGTTTTTTTAACAAAAAACATTTACAACTGCAGTACAGATGAAAGGTGATAAATCTATTTATTGTCTTTAGGTTCAGCTTGATAGACATCTGTCCTTTTTAAGTCCTATGGCTATATAGCAGTGTAACTTTATTGTTCCTTGTTTATATTACTGTTATGTACTGATCCAATAGTTGCAATAAAGACATTGGGGTTGATTTACTAAAGACAAAAAGACTGTGCCCATTATAAAGTGCAATTGGATACTGCAAGAGCAGTTGCTCCAGAGCGTGGTAGATGAGCAGAAACTCTGCTGACTTCCATCATCAAATCATGTGCAGGCAAAAAAGTTGTTCTTTTATGTTCCTTGCATTTGATTGGGTATTTTTTATACAGTGAAACTTCACCTCATTTACTAAGCTCTGGAGCAACCGATCTTACAGAATGTAACTGCACTTTGCAAAGTGATCAGTTTATTTGCCTTTAGTAAATCAGTTTCATTGATTGGATTGGTTTGTGTTTGAACAGCCAAAATAACAGCTTTACTAGTTGCAGACTTTGTCCATGCTACAAACACTCAAAAAAGTAATCATTGTACACAGGGCATGTGTAGCACGTCCACTCTTTCTACCCTGCTTCTGGGATTCCCCCTGTCCTTAAACTATCATTGTCAGCTGTGATTAATCATAGAAGGCATTACAGTATACTCAGAGCAGTGTTGTTTTATAAACACTGAATCAGCTGTAAAAAAGCTGATTCAGTGTTTATAAACAACACTGCTCCAGACAACAATTATACAAAGATACAATGTAACGTAATGTTACTTTTGTATCTTTCTGCTCATTCATCTGCAGATCAAAGGGATGAACTTAGAACTGCAGATGATGTCAGTTAAAGGATAAGTTCACCTTTGGAACTCGTTTTTAGGGTGGAACATGTTCCCATAGCTGCAGCAGCACCTGCTGCCCCCCTCCCTCTGACAGATTGTATAGGGAGAAGTTTTCAAAGCTCCACCCACACAGCCGTGTCACTTATTCACAGAGTTTTGTGAATGAGTGTCTACAAGTCCCGGCAGCCTTAGCGGTTGTCGGCTTGTAGTTTTCAATGAACTACCACAGAGTGTCATGGTAGTTCATTGAAGCTTCCTGTCAGAATATCTGCCTGATCGTACATCCCATATGGCTAGCAGATATTCTGACAGGTCTGCAGGAGACCTGCATGGCCTCAGTGATCTACTGATTGCTGGTGCAATGCTCTACTTATCCTTTAAAGCAACCTGACAAGTAATAAAAAATTTTTTTTTTTTTTTTTTTAATAACATGTTCCTCTGTTTAACTCTCTATTAACCCTAAGTGTACTCTAATCAGCCCGAATGGACTCCTTAGTCTCCTTCTGCTTACAATAAAGCTTACCTGTAGGTAAAATTAATATCTCCTAAATGTGCACCGTTTAGGAGATATTCCCTCTTTTTGTCTACTGGTGCATGCACTCTGAAGGAATGGCATACCCATGCCATTCCTTCAGAGCACTGTGCCTTATCTCAAAACTCCTATGAGCATGCGTGGGAGTGACATCAGTACGGCTCTGCCAGTCAGACGGTCGGGACTCTTGAACCCAGAAGGAAGACCGGGTAAAGATGGAAACCTTTGCAACGGGGACACCACACCGCTGGAGGGATTCATTTTAGGGCCAGTTCACACGCTTCTGCATGCACATTTTTTACATATTTTGCATTCCAGTGTGTTTTTGATGCATTTTTGATGTGTTCCAGTTAATTTTTTCCCCTCTCTTTTTCTTCAACTTAAATAGGTACATGTGCATTCCAGAGTGTTTTTGGTGTGTTCCAGTGCATTCTTGATGCATTTTACCGCATTCCAGCACAGTTTTGTGCAGAAAAAATCGCAGAATGTTCTACTTTTTTTTCTGCAACCGGAATGCACTGGAACTGCAAGCACTGATGTGAACTATGACATTGACATCCATATACCCTACTTTCTGTGCATTTTGGATGCAGAAAAAAAGCAACTGAAATGCATGTAGTGTGAACTGGCCCTTAAGGTAAGTCCTGCATAATGTGCTAGTATGTGATGTATACTAGCACATTATGACATTATCTTCCAGGGGATTTTTTTATTCGTTTTTCTCAAGCTGTGGTTTACTACAGCTTTAATATTTATTAAATTAATAATTAATTTATTAATTATATTTTGTTATTTGTTAATATTTTTACACATTTAACTTATATTTACACATTTCCTATTTTAAAGGTACAAAACGAAAAAAAAAAAACACGTTATTTAATTTGTAAATAACTTTGCAATGCTTTGCACCAGAACAGGATAAGGTACAGGATAAAATGTGCACACTATTTAATTTTAAACTAACAATGCTCAAAAAAAAAGGAAAAAGTAAGATTTATTTAGTTTTGTTACATTTTATCGGCTTGTGAAAAAAATGTTTTCTTGCAAGACAATATCATAAAAAGAAAAGCCTTGTTTGTCCTTAACCACCTCCCGCCCGCCATATAAGGTAATGACGGGCTCAAGGCGGTTCTCTCGTTCTGGGAGGACGTCATATGACGTCCTCCCATTCTGACCGCACATGCGCAGCTCCTGGGGCGCACAGCGCGCCGATCGGTGGTGCGCTGTGTCCCTCGGACACAGCAGATCACCGATCAACGGAAAGAGCTATAAATGTTGGCTCGGTCATGTGATCAGCTGTGTCCAATAACAGCTGATCGCATGTAAATAGGGAAATGCCGGTTATCGGCATTTCTCTCCTCACGAGCTGTCACGCTGACAGCTTGAGAGGAGAGTCAGTAATCAGCATTCCTCAGAGGGGACATGTGCACTGATCATCAGGGCACTGATGATCAGTGTGCCCTGATGACCAGTGTAGCCCCAGCAGTGCCACCTGTCAGTGTCCATCAGTGTTACATCAATGCCTACCAGTGCACATCAATGCCACATATCAGTGCCCATCTGAGCTGCCTTTCAGTGTCACCTATCAGTGCTAGTCAGTGCCACATATCAATGCCAGTCAGTGCCACCTATCAATGCTGCCAGTCAGTGCCACCTATCAGTGCTGCTTAACAGTGCCAGTCAATGCCACCTAACAGTGCCAGTCAGTGCCGCCTATCAGTGCCATATATGAGTGCAGCCTTTCAGTGCCCATCAGTGATGCCTGTCAATGCCCATCAGTGCCAGCTACCAGTGCCTCCTCATCAGTGCCCATCAGTGCCACCTATCAGTGTTCATCAGTGCAGCCTATCAGTGCCCATCACTGCAGCCTCATTAGCACACATCAGTGAAGGAGAAAAATCACTTATTTACAAAATTTTATAACAAAAACTAAGAAAAAAAAATTTTTTTCAATATTTTCAGTGGTTTTTGGTTTGTTTAGCAAAAAATAAAAAAACCCAGAGGTGATTAAATACCACCAAAAGAAAGCTCTATCTGTCTGATAAATGATAAAAGTTTCATACGGGTACAGTGTTGCATGACCGCACAATTGTCATTCAAAATGTTACAGTGCTGAAAGCTGAAAATTGGCCTGGGCAGGAAGGGGGTATAAGTGCCCTGTAGTCTAGTGGTTATAAAACAGTATACTGTATGTATTACCTTGTTATCTTTAGTAAAGACAAAGTCATTGTCTAATAAACAGGTCCATAGCAGAAATATGGGGTGAACAGTTGTGAGAGTCAAAGTGGTGAAGTGATTTTAAAAGCTTAAGGTGTTTTACCTTAATGCATTCTCTGCAAAAGGTAATAAAACATTCTGTGCCACAGGATCCCCCAGGCCCCACTTTTACTTATCTGAACCCAATCTAGCGCTGTTCCCGAGAGATCAGGGCAGATTGATAACAGTGAAACCCATTGGCTCCTGCTACTGTCATTCAAATCCTGTAAAACAGGGTGCAGGGCCGAGCTACCTATGGGGGCACCCCAGAAGAGGAGGATCAGGGCTGCTCTGTGAGAAACTATTTCATATAGCAGGCAAGGATGATATATTTATTATTAATATTTAAAAAAAAGGTATGCAGTAGAGATGTACAGTTGTGTCCAAAATTATTCAACCCCCACTGAAATTGAGTGTTTTGGCCAGTTTGACATTGCTTTTGATCATTCAGTCATCTTGCTTACATTTACATTAAAGAGGCACTTGTAGGTCAGACAAATATAACATAACAGTTATAATGAAATAACCACAAATGTCTTTTCTGTGCTCACAGCATTATCAGTTTTATTCAACCCCCAAGTGACATTCAATCTTAGTACTTAGTACAGCATCCTTTTACAGTTATAACAGCTTTTAAACGTGAAGCATAGCTTGACACAAGTGTCTTGCAGCGATCTACGGGTATCTTCGCCCATTCTTCATGGGCAAAGGCCTCCAGTTCAGTCACATTCTTAGGCTTGCGCACTGCAACTGCTTTCTTTAAGTCCCACCAGAGGTTCTCAATCGGATTTAAGTCTGGTGACTGCGATGGCCACTCCAAAATGTTCCAGCCTTTCCTCTGCAACCATGCTCTAGTGGACTTGGAGGTATGCTTGGGATCATTGTCCTGTTGAAAGGTCCAACGTCTCCCAAGCCTCAGGTGTGTGACGGACTGCATCACGTTTCCATCCAATATCTCCTGGTACTGAAGAGAATTCATGGTACCTTGCACACGCTGAAGCTTTCCCTGTACCTGCAGAAGCAAAACAGCCCCAAAGCATGATTGACCCTCCACCATGCTTCACAGTAGGCAAGGTGTTCTTTTCATCATAGGCCTTGTTCTTCCTCCTCCAAACATAGCGTTGATCCATGGGCCCAAACAGTTCTAATTTTGTTTCATCAGTCCACAGAACACTATCCCACAACTTTTGTGTTTGTCCACATGGCTTTTGGCATACTGCAGTCGACTCTTCTTATTCTTTGGAGACAGCAAGGGGGTACGCCTGGGAGTTCTGGCACGGAGGCCTTCATTACGCAGTGTGCGTCTTATTGTCTGGGCTGAAACTTCTGTACCCACATCTGACAAATCTTTTCTCAGTTCCTCAGCAGTCACACGGGGACTTCTCTCCACTCTACGCTTCAGGTAGCGCACAGCAGTTGAAGTCAGCATCTTCTTTCTGCCACGACCAGGTAGCGTTTCAACAGTGCCCTTTGCCTTGAATTTGCGAATGATGCTTCCTAAGGTGTCTCTTGGTATGTTTAACATCTTTGCAATCTTCTTATAGCCATTGCCCTTCCTGTGAAGAGAAATCACCTCTTCTCTTGTCTTCCTGGACCATTCTCTTGCCTTCACCATGTTTGTAACCACACCAGTAAATGTCTAGAAGGAGCTGAGTATCACAGTCATTTTAAAGCTGCCTAATTGGTGCTTATTATGCTTGATTGCTGCTCGGTGACATCCACAGGTGTTTTCAATACCTGATGGAAAGCACCTGTATGAACCTCTGTTCTTCAGAGTGGTAGTCTTTAAGGGGTTGAATAATTGTGGCAATGAAGAAACCACATAAGAACCATTTACTACTGTATTACATAAACAATTGATGTCATTTTAGTTGCATTTGGGTAGTTACAACGTCCTTGTAGGATTTGATTCTGAATACAATTCCAAATGTACACTATAGTCCCTAAACCCCTTTACAGCATTGGGGGTTGAATAATTTTGGACACAACTGTACATGATGAAAAAATGTGTTTAGTTTTGTTCATTCAAGGATTCATTTGTTCAGTCAATCATTTTGTTTTGTCATAATCATTATGTTAGATTGATTAATTTTTGGAATTTGTTTTGTACATTTAGATTTGTTTCTAAAGATGCATTGTTTGGTATCGATTTGTATTCTTTCGGAAGATTCAGATTAATTTGTTATGCCATCATGCTATTTTGGTGACCTATTTGCAACATCAATGCGACTTTTCGATGCAACTTGCTTGCAATTTCAATGTGACTTGCTTGTGACTTTTTGATGCAGTTTGCCTGCGATTTTGTCTGAAGTCACAAACAAATGAATACAAATACATTTGTTTTCATTTTATTTTATGTCAGATTCCGTGGAATTCTTTACTAATGTGATTTAGAGACTCAGATACTTTAAAATCCCTGAATAACGAAAATGTTTCCAGAAACTCAATTGGCACTGAAACAAATTACTAATTTACGGTCACTTTAAGGGACAATTGTAGTGCAGCCCATAGATGATACTAGTTTTTCGTTGAATAGAAAAAATAGCTGACTAATTTCCCCCCATTCACATACTCAATGTGGATGGGGTATATCCTCCCCACTGGGCTATTGTATTTTGATGGGGGGGGGACACTTCCCTGCCACTAGAATGCACTAATCAGCATTTCAGGCTATAGCCTGCAGCACTGATTGAATGTGGAAAATCCAGCAGGGTGGTTGTACAGAAGTCAGTTGGCAGTTTGACTTCTCTACAACCTTCCTGCCCCTACATGGATTAAAATTCATCTGGTCCCTGCTGAACCGGTTGCATTTCATGTATGGCTGGCTTTAGTCAAAGTTTTTCTATCAACCCCCCTTAATAATATGCAGTCCAGCTCCTGGCATCTTCACTGTGTGGCTCTGCTCAACACTGCACAGCTTGTTCTTCTAAACAGTTTTGTCCTTGCCATGGGCTTGTTGTATATGTAGGCTATAAACTCTATTAATTGTACAAGACCCAGCCAGAGTGCAAGGTGAATAGCATTTATTCTCATGGAATTGCAACTGGAGAGTTGCTCCATTAAGTTAGCAGTAGTGTCTTTGTAATTTGCTTTCAGGGAAATGTGTATGGTAGATTAAAAAACAGATTCTTTATTGCATTTATTTATAGGGCGAGACATTCTGATAGCTAAGGAAATAGCACGTGAAGAAAAACCCTGTAAGTAACCACTGGAATTTTATGTGGCTGGTGTGTGCTTAAAATGTAAGACCATTCTGTAAAAATGAAATAGTACATCTGATTGTCAGATATAGCATTGAAGGGTATACAATCACATCAATGTATCGGATTTTGTTTTGTAAATTGTTTCCTGTAAAGTTCAGAACGAAAACATTTGTTTTCGTTTCGTATCAAATCATTAAGTTACTAATTTCGTTTTGTTGCATTCGTAAAAAAAATTGTTTCAAGTTCAAATTCTTTCAATGGATTCGAAGTATGCAAACTGAATTCAAATTAAAAATATTCTTAGAATTCATTGTGAAGAACAGCTTCAAATTAGAATTTCAGAACACAGCTATATTCTTTTTTTTTTATTCTATTCTAATCTACTCTATTTTTTTCTGTTCTAATCTTTTCTATTCTATACTTTTATTTGCTATTATTTTCTATTCCATACTATTCTATTCTATTCCTTTGTTTTCTATTCTATTCTTGTATTTTCTACTCTATTTAATTCTATTTGATTCTTTCAGAATTTAAATGTTGGAAGATGACTATATTTTTTCTATTCTGTTTTATTCTATTCTATTCTTTTCTACTGTATTCCTTTATTTTCTATCCTTCTATTTTTTGTTCTATTCTCTTCTATTCTATTCTGTTTTATTATTTTCTTTTTTTTTCTAAGTTTGAATTCCAGAAGACGGCTATATTCTTTCTATACTATTCTAATCTATTCTATTTTTTCTATTCTATTTTTTTATTTTATATTCTTTGCTATTCTATGCATTCTTTTCTATTTTATCCCTTTATTTTATATTCTATTCTATTTTATTCTATAATTTCAAAATTTGTTTTTCAGAAGACAACTATATTCTACAGTATTTTATTCTATTCAAAATTCGAAATTCAAATTTTGGAAGACCGCTATATTCTATTTTATTCTGTTATATTCTAATTTATTATATTTTTATTATTTTCTTTCTATTATATTTATTTTATTTTCTATTCTGTTTTACTTTTTTCTATTCTTTTCAAAATTCTAATGTCAGAAGATGGCTATATTCTAATCTATTCTAATATATTGTAATCCACTCTATATTTTATAATCTATTCTATTCTTTTATGTTTTATTCTATTCTTTTATATTCTATTTATTTATTTTCTATTTTTTCTATTCTTTTATTTTCTATTCTATCCTTTTATATTATTTTCTATTCTGCAGT